CTTTACTTTTACCCATCATCAGATGGTTCTTGTGTGATACCTGGCCATCATTTGGGACTGAACCAGCTGATATTAACTTGCACTGACAAGGGGCAGGTTTGYTTTATAATTACTGAGAGAGTTCAGCTGGTGTCTTGGCTTTCCATGCCTTTTTACACCTCCCTTTCTTCTGGTGAAAATGTCATGTCATTAGCACCTCTAGAAATATATTTACTGAGAAAAATGGTGACGTGTTCAATACTTATTTTACCTGCTGTACTTTAGCGTAATAGTAAAAAAAAGAAAAAAATAGAAAATAGAGAAAACTGAACTGGCTGAAAAACATGCCATAAACAGAATTTAAATATATCTACGCAGAACTGGGAGACACTAAATTAAAATTTTCAGCACTCCTGGAGAATCCAAGTACAAAACAAAATGTGTTCGACAATGACTAAAATAATGTTTTTTCCATGATATGTCCCCTTTAGAGGTGCTTCAATCAGGTGCTGAACTTTTTCTACAAACAACATTTTCATTTTAACTCCAGTTAAAAATATTTGTTGGGTATTTTTGGTACATTTGAGGTAAGATTTGAACAATTTTAGTACTTAGTAAAGACCAGATCAGTCATTTAATCATGTCCTGTTTCATAAAATCCTAGAATTGATAGAAAATGGACTTTCCCAGGACTAGAAAGCTTTGTTGTTGTTGCTTCCCCACCCAATCGCTTTGACTCCACAGTGAGGATCTTTGCCAGGTAGTTAGTGCTTCTCTGTAGCATTTCACAAAATTAAAAATTGTCTCTGTGGAAACATTTCAGCTATTTCTGCTTTATTCTAGTGAATGGGTTGCATAAAACAAATGTTGTCACACAAACCTCTAGATGTGCAGCCCTTAATGTTCTTCTGTCCTTCCAGTGGACTGTGAGTGGTCCAGCTGGTCAGCATGGAGTGCGTGCTCAGCCAGCTGTGGTAGTGGACGACAGAGCTCCACCAGATCTGTTCTGCAGCCCAGGCAGTATGGAGGAGCCCAGTGCGAAGGTGTCAACATACGCATTGCCACATGCATTGCTCCTGACTGTGGTGAGTGAAGCCGGTGGGAGACGTGGGATGTTTCACAATTCACAGGGATGCTGACAAACATTTTAAACAGTGTGGCACCTAAAATCTATTCTAATTAAAGGTCTAGCTTCCCTTCGAAGTGTGAAGATTGCCCTCCAAAACTGCAAATTTCATTAAGTGGTTCAAGAGAGATTTTGCTAACACAAAAAACGTACAGCATACAGAAACAAGCAAAACATAATCACCTTTAGAAGCAGGTGATTATGATGTAAAAATTGATATTTCATGAAGTCCGACCCTTTCAGTAGCCTCAACCTTTCCTTTTATTTTCAACATATGAAGGAGGATCTAAAGATTATTTGTCCAGTTAACAATAATTTTTTTGCCCTTATTCTAAAAATAACTATCCCCCTTTTAAATCATTTATTTTTGCCGTCTTTTTTCCTCACAAAATCCTCACATTTCCCACTATTTTTGCACCCATTCAATTATTTTCTTCTTCTTCTTTTTTCTCCCTTTCCGTCCTCCTGTCCAGCGTGTCCTGACGGGGAGCACTGGAGGAGGAGGAGTGTGTCAGAGGACGTCCCGCTGTGCGAGAGGAGCTGCCGGGACATTTACTCCTCTTCTCCTGTCAACTGCAGCCGCTTCGCTGAGGGATGCGTGTGTCGGGAGGGACTGTACCGCAACCCGGAGGGCGTGTGTGTCATCCCCGCCCTCTGCCCCTGCCATGAACAGGGGATGCTGTGGGAGGTACAGCACGCACGCACGCACGCACGCACACACACACACACACACACGCACACACACACACACACACAAAGGAGCTCACACCCAAAGTAAACAAACCTGACCACCCGATGCCCAGCAAACCTGGCAGCTTGTAGCCAGTGTGGCCCTGCGTCATTGTGTAGTTAGCTTGAACCGTAGCATCAGTAAGGTGTTTACGTTCCATCCCATTCATTCTCATTGTTTATTTACCCATAAAGAAGGGCCTGTTAGAAGATGAGTGATAAGCCTTGTGGGCCACATTACACCACAAGGCCTTTCCATTCCCTCAACCTCATCAATTATAAAAGAAGGCCTGTATTCTGACCGCAGCTAGGTAAAGCCTATGAGGAATTATTTATGGAGAGGATATTATGGGCTCATAAAATTAATCATACATTGACAAGAGCTCTGCTCCCCTTCTCTTGAATTTTGTTTCATGTTAACTTTTCTTCTCTTACCCTACTTTGTTTCTCTCAAAGGTTTGTTTCTAGTTCTTTCTCATCCATTTTCCTTCCACTTTTTATTCCCCTTTATTCCAACCATCTGCCTCTGTTAATTGCTGCCTTTCTCCTCTCTTTCCCTTCTTGTCAGCTGGTGATGACAAGTGTTTTTATTAAAAAAAAAACCTTTATGGCTTTTCATAAAGCATTGACCTCATCTCATCAAATGGCTCAGACTGAGCAGCTGCTTTTGTTGAAACTGGTACTTGTCAAACGCAAGATTTGATTTGTTTTGCTAATTGGGTTATTATAGTTTCTGCTTCATATCATGACTCTGTTGGCTCAAATCTATATCATTACAGCTGTGATTCTGTCAAACGTTGCTTGAGAAAAAGAGTCCGCGCTGTCACCGGTTGCATTTCTTGTTTAGGCATCAGCTCCACAGGCACATGTCAGAAGTGTGTTGGGGAATAAATCGGAGGTTCTGTGTGTGTTTTGTGAGCCAGGCAGCATCTGAGTGGGAAGATGGGTGTCGGTCATGCAGCTGCGTGAACGGGAAAAAGCTCTGCCACATGAGGTGTCCTCCACTTTACTGTGATGAGGTGAGACACACATCTCTGAATCCTTGTCAAAAATATCTTTGTACCTTTTTCTTTCTTTACCACATTTTGTGTACTGTATTATACTTATGTCAGAATCTAGTAACAATATGTTTTATTGCTACTAACTGTTAGTCTAGGAAAAATTATTCAGTAAAGTTTACTGGTCAGAGGAATATCAGCTTATACATGTTTACATTTAGCCCAGCACACATTGATGGGTATAAATTAGGTAAATTTAGTAAAAATGCAAAGTGTCTTAAACTACTTTACGGTTTTGACCAACTTTAAGCAAATCTATTAAACAGACAATTTATTTAGCCACAGCGACCTAAATTTATAAGATTACAAGAGGTTGCAAATTCCCATGTGTTTTTTATATTTTTGTTGACTTAAAACTTTAAATTTACATGGATTTGATTGTAAGTAAAATATTGTGGTAAATAATAATATCTAATATCCCAGGGACTCTGAGCTAAAAAACAACAACTTTATTACGTCTAAATCTGAGGTGCCCACGATGGAGCCTGCAGGCCACATTCATCCCACCGGCAGTTACCCTGGCTACTAAATTGTAATTTCCTGTCTTCCTATGTAGAAACTCTTTTTTTCCACAAACATTTGTTGGCCCAATGACTAGGGCAGATTGTTTTCACTCATGGTGCTGACTTTAGTTTTGAATTATATTAAAATTAAACACAAAAAACGAGAGACATTTGGATTAGATCAAAGCACACATGTAGATTTTCACACTTTGTAAAACCATAAATACCCACATTTGATCAATTTATGAAATATTCCATGAACATTTGCTGCTTGAGTTCCTCAAACGTTCTCCAAGTACACGGGTTAAAAAATAAACAAAAAATTGCGGGCCACTGCACTGACTGCTAGCTAAATCATAAAACTAAAAGGGCTTTACTTAAAGTGCCTGTGACTTCAAATTTTTGCAATAAATATGAATGCAACTTTGAAAATCTAACATTAATAACATATTGCAAATAAAATGTCTCGCTGCTGGCATGAACAATTGTTGAGATATTTGCATGTGAAGAAACAGGAAGTGATGGCAAAGGGGAATGTTAGAGCGAAAAAAGAGAATCGACACAAAGGCACAGATTGTTGAAAAGAATCTGAAGTTTCTTTAAATGATCTTGAGTCATTATCAGAGAGAGATGAGAAAGTGCCAGAGTTCAAATAATATTGTTTAAGTAAACAAAGACCAGAGAGTTTTTTTCCTAAGGAGTTCTCCTTTGATGTCACTTCCTGTTTCACTTTGACTGAGTTCAGTTCAAAAGAAAATATACCAGTTATGTGACAAAATGTGTATAATCATGTGTATTATGCCAATTTTTTATTTATATATAAATGTGTTTTATTTTGTATTTGAAGGATAAGCATGCCAAAGGCAGTTTTGTATTTTTATTTTGTATGTGTATTTCATGAATTTTGCCTCCAGCCCTCAGATAGATTTTCATTTTGGCCTCTTTCAGGGAAAAAGTTTGGTCACCCTTGGTCTAAACAAGTGGTTCCCAACCTTTTTAGACTTGTGCCCCCCTGAGCCATTTTGTCATGCCACTAATAGCCCCTCAGTCAAAGGTAATGATGATTCTCCAAAACTATAATGTACAACAACTGATTATTAAATGAAAATTACTTATTTACCTCCCTAGAATGTTTAATTCTCAGGCATTTTACCATCTTCAACTCAAATTAAACAAACATAAAAATGTTGCCTTGAAAGTGAATAAGTAATTAAATAAATAAGCAAGGTAATGGCAGGTGCAGGAAGCAGCAGTGTATAAAATACATCAGAAACTCACCCAAATGAGCAAATTCTGAGATTCCGCTTTTTATACTGGATTCCATTTTGTGTCAGTTCTGTGATTTTGTCTGCATTGTACACATTGCATAAATTATAGGGCCCTACATATCTGTCCTATTTTTTTTACACATCTGGGAAATATTTTTCACGTACCCCCCTGTAATATGCTCTCGTATACCCCCAGGGGTACACGTACCTCTGGTTGGGCATCACTGGTCTAAACTATCTAAATAAAGCCCTATTGTAAAAGAAACACTTGATGAAAGATGCAAACAAAACATACAATTGCAATTTTCGGACAGTTGATAACTGTTCATTCACTTTTTTAATATAAAGTGTGATAACAAGATGATGCTCGAGCAACAAACAAGTGATGTCATTTCTCTCTCAGGGGGAAGTGAAGGTGGAGGAACCAGGCATTTGTTGTCCAGTCTGCAGAAAGCTGTTTCCAGGTAGGAGGAATAAATCATATATCAAACGTAGACACAGTGTTTATTCATGTAAAGCAGAGCTTTTAGTGCATGGAAAGATCACATTTATTATTCTCTGAATAATGCTTTTATTGTCATTTAAATCTCAAGCTCTTGACCTTCACATTAAATGTCTCATCTTTCAAGTTAACAACGGGAATTTTTTAAAAACTGGTTTGATTTTAAAACTACTGAACATGAAACAAATCATTGTGTCAAGCAAATAGTGAAAATCCCTAATGGTGATGGGCTCCAAACCCCTTTAGTGGACCTGAGTGCTCTATTATTCAGGCTAAAAACTCCAAGCTGCAGTCCCCAATTACTGAGAGATTACATTACTTAGCCCACACTAGGGCTTTAATCTCTCTCCCTATGGAGGAAATGTCACATGCTGAAGGGATGACAGTGTCTCTGTGCTTACTTCAAGTCATTTTCAGACTTGTCTTTTGCCTTTTCTCTCCCTTTCTGTTTTACTGCAAAACTATGCGTCTGTGCTTTTCTCCCTTAGACAGACCAGTTTTCATTTTATTCCTCTCTCCTCTTCTGTTTCTGTCAGAGGAGCCTGCGCCAGAGTGTCAGCGCTACGTTCAGCTCCGAAACATCACCAAGGGAAACTGTTGGCTTGATAACGTGGAGGTCAGCTTCTGCAGAGGACGCTGTCTGTCCAGGACTGATGTCATCCTGGAGGTGTGACGAGGAAATGAACACACAGACTTACTCACCGAGCATCTCGATGTTATATATGGAGATAAAGAAAGGAAACAAAAACACAAAAAAGAACGTTATTGAAAGTTAGCATTAGCTCTGTTACTGCTTCAAAGGGATCCACGATTAGTTGTAACATTAGACTTTATTTGATAAACATTTATTTTAACTGTAAAAGAAAGACTATAAAAATAATGTAGGGTTTTTAGTTTTATAAATTTTTGAAAATATATTTTAACACGGATGGAGCCATTTTATTTACACGCAAAGCATTCTGGGTAAATGATGACGTGGATAGGTCCTTGGTGTGAGCGAGCTATATCCACCCTGAAGGTTATTATAGGACAATATCTGATGATTGGCTCTTTTAAATAAAACCAGAGAGCGTTGACAGAGAGGAGAAGGTAGAAACAATTCAGTCTACAACTTCAATAACCTCAGCTTAGCCTGTTAGCCTTCACGTTAGCGCCGACGCTTTATTGCCTTACATGTATTAGCTCAGCGCTAGCGCGACAAACAAGCTAAACTGAGGTCCTTCATCCACATTTTCAGTTGCAGGCTGAGTCAATTTTGCTTTCCCCTCTCTGTCATGTGGATGGAGGACCTCAGTGGAAAGTAAAAGCACTCACACACTGAGAAATGAAGTTTAGAATTTACTCAACCAAACTGATTCCACTAAACTGAGTTGAGTAAGTTGAACATTTACTCAACTAGGTACCAACCTACTTAACTGTAACTGGTTCTGTGGCCAAGTTTAACCAGTGATGCCTAGAACTGCCACCAAGCCTAGTGAGAAAATGTATGTGCAGACATGCTAACTCCCTTGAAGACCCCAAGATCTCACTTTGTAGTCTGAAGCAGAAAGCAGCCTGACTCATCATGTTGCATGCATCCTGATTATTAATAGCCCAGTCTAAAGGGTTGGCTCTAGTTCCAGATAATCAATAGGATCCTTGCACATCTTTTAAACACGCTCTTGACTTGGAGGGAAAATCTTATGACAGCAAATTTTGAAAAATTAGTCAGATAATAAATTCAAAATATATCCAACCTCGCATCTAATATTATCAATACAAACCACAAAAATAAATAAATAAAAATACATTAACACAAATAACGGTTCTAGCATGAATGCCAGTCTGGTAAACCCCTCCTTCTGTGTCCACTTGCCCTCAGCACACACACACACACACACACACACACACATACACGCCCTGCCTTTAGGGTTGCCACAATTCATGCAGAAAATTAAAGGATGCTTAGCACAGCCAAGCTTTAATCCTAGGGGCCACAACAACCATGCACCAACTGACTCACCAGAGATCTGTCCTGAAATATATATTATAGCCTTAAAGTGTTACAATTCATATGAAATATTTTGTGTTTTGTTATCTATAGACATAAAAACAAATTGAAATAAAAAGGTTCAGTTATAAACTACAGCTGGTAATAAAATTTGTCTTAACAAATATATAATTAACAAAACCATAACTTGAAGCAAATGTACCAATACACAAAAGATCAGTCAGTATCACTACACTGCAGCCCAGATTGTGTTTGACTGTGTGATACAACTGTTGTTCCTTCTGGAACTTAAAGGAGAAATCATTCATTTGACAGTATTAAAATTTTACAATGGATGGATGGATGGATGGATGGATGGATGGATGGATGGATGGATGGATGGATGGATTCATCATTCGCAAAAGGAAATTGAATTTTTAATTAATGCATCATTTTTTTCTATGACTATGCCAGAATAAATAAACTTTGGTAAACAAATCACATAAATGCATCATAATACAGCATAATGATAACGAGGCCACTTTCTGCAGAAATACCTCATTTAAAAGGAACTCAGTACCTCAGTAAAATGTATGATTGTGTATACAAAGTTGGTTGCTAATAAAAAGGCAGCCACACATGAAATAACATAATTATAAAATGGGAATATATTAAAAAGCTGATACTTTGGTTACAAAGAACTGATGACGTTAGATGTTTGGGCTGATCACACACCGGAAATATTAACAAATTAACTCCCAGTTAGCTTTGAACTCATTTATTCTGGTTCTTAGTTTGACACAAATTTGAATCATGTCTCATCTCAGTTTTGAGCCAGCAGAGGTTTCAAGTATCAGAATAATGATGTTTTCAACCCAACTCGGATATACACAAGACAAACTCTGTTCTGTGTTGATATAAAGTGGGACACACAACTGTAATGTCATATTTTATATTCTGAAGTCTGTGTGGTAAACTTAACCTCAACTCAATGGCCATACCAACCCTCTGATATGAGTGATTTCTGAAATATTACATAGAAGAAAAAGGTTCTGAATAATAAAAATATCCATTTTGACAAAAGATAAATTTAATTATGGATAAATGCACAATCTTACAATTAAAAGATACTAAAGTTTTTCAAGGATTTTTACATTTTCTGAATTTGTGTATTATTATAATTGGAATTTTAGATATCTTAAAATGTATATTATTAGCCTAATCAAATAGTTGTGGATTTCTTTATTTTCAGTTATGAGTATGAAAAACTATATTTTACCTGGTGAAAAATTTATATTGATCTCTAAAATTGGAATTAGAAACTGGAACTTGTTTTTATGACATAATAAAAAGATCTGTGATAAACTTGTAGTTGGCAAGTTTCACTCAACTATTTGGCACAAAATAATTCCATAACATATCCTACCTGTTAGAACAGAAAAATAGAAGATATTTCAATGCAAGTGATTAAAATGAATGACAATAAAAAAGGAACATTTTACAATAAAATAATTAATAATAATAATAATATTTACTAATATTTACCAACCTACTTACCTACCAAACATCCATGCATCCATCCGTTTATGCATTTATTCATATGAAGAAAATTTTATAACTGATTGACTGAAGGTCAGATCCAGTATTGTACTTTATACATTCTGATCACTGCAGCCATAAGTTTTAAAACAGAGAATGAGAGTTGGTGTGTCTTATCGAGGTGTTCTTTCTGTAGCATAAACAAAAGTTGGTTACATTCTATCGTCTGATGTAAAGGTTACCTCCTTCAGGGGTGTAACCAGGAAGAGGCATAGATGTTAAAAGGTTGAATCATCATTATATGAGTCCAGGTTTTTTTTGTTAGTTCTTGTGTGCAGTCTCTGTCTTAGAGCAGCCTGGGACAGTCTGGGCTCTGATTTTATATTCAGATAAGATAAAGATCATTTTACTCTGAGACCTGCTGAGTGCAGCTGGAGCTGACTGGAGACAAGAACAAAGTTTTATAGAAGAGATTCAACTGTTTTTTAGCTATATTATTCAGACTTCCATTTATTGGTCACAAATTCCCTTCACATCCATCCATCCATCCATCCATCCATCAATTCACCAACCAACCATCCGTCTATGGATCTATTCATCCATCCATCCATCCATCTATCCATCCATCCATCCATCAACCAACCCTCCACCTATGCATCTGTTCATCCATCAACCAACTAGGAATGCGCGACATGGCAAAAAATTCATATCACGATATACATTTTGATGAGTGGCGGTAACGATATATATATCAAGATATAAAACTTGTAATAGAAAACAAATAAATCACACATTAATTGAGTAGAATAAATATGTATAGGTAAAAAAAATTAGACCTTTAAATCTCCTTTTTAAGGGACACTTTAAAGTCTCCCATAAAAATCTAAATTTAAGGGAGATCTACCTGGTTAAATCATATATATATATATACAGTATATATATATGTGTGTGTGTGCGTGTGTACTGTATATATAACACACACACACACACACACACACACACACACACACACAAAGGAGCTCACACCCA